GAGGCCTGGCCATGCCCTGAACCGTCCAGATGGACGGTTCAGCCCCAACCGGCGGGCGGCAGCCTCAAGAGCGCCGCCAGGCCCAAACGATAATGCCGTTTGGGCCTGCCCGTCGGGTACTGGTCCAAGATCAGGCCCTGAGGGCCTGTAATAACCCAAGGTCAGGCCTTTAGGCCCTGATGTGTCCCTCCGGCCCTAAGTCGGGTCTGGTAGGACCCGTGTGCGTCGAAGATGTAACATGGGAAATTTGGACCCTAAAGGGCGGCGCTAGCTTCTTATAGGCAGCATTCCATAGATTTATGTATTTCATGGGACTGCTGAATAGGCCACGAGGATTGGACCATATCATCACAATTGGTAGTTTCCGTGTGTCTGGCCTAGTATCTGGGTTCCAAATTCTCGTTTGCAGACGCGGCCATGAAATCGAACGTTTGGAGGCCATCAAGGCTGACTCTCAAATCACTTTTCATGGCTTTTTCTCATGGTAAACGCGGACCCAAACACCCGACTGATACAGACAGAAAACCAGGATATCAATCCAGACGTCTGGAACTCCGGACAGGTACCGGACATCCAGACAGCACCGGACCCACACCGTCCAAATGGTTCTCAGGACCCAAAATGTGTCCAGACCGGGATTTAAAAACAAAGACATACAGAAAATGTGCTGCAGAATCAAGGACACACTTGAGATGCAAAGTGTAAGTAACAACAGTCACCTCGTTAGAGGTACACTCTGCCACATAGTACGTACTACACAGTGCTACGCACACATGGAGGCAACAGCACGTCACCCGCCTATCGCTGTTTAGAACTTGACAGCTCCATATTGTCACAGACATTCGGAAAGCCTCACAAAACACTTCAAGTCAGTTCACCACTGACCGACTCTTGGTGGGGTCGGGTGACATCCGTTTAGGCCATGAAGCGGCCGAAAAATAGCGGGCCTATTTTTTGGGGCCGGCCTAGGACCCGGAAAAAAGGTCTTAGGTGCCCCAATTTGCTTTTTGAAATATTCTTTTTGGGGAGCCAATCCAGACCTATCAGACCGGACCCCGGACCGAGACCCAGACAGCCGGTCCGTCTGGATCTCGGTCCAGGCCGGTTACAATTTCTTTTTCTTTATAGTACTCTCTCTTTGACTTTAGCCTCCACTCTGTTTAGCCAATGCTGTCAAAGTCCCCAGGCGACCCGGCTGGGGGAAGGTCGCTCGGGCACCCTCCCGGGCGGCCCGGACCGGGCAGGGCCCGGGCAGGGTCCCGGGCAATCCCAGCGCATAATATTTAAAAAAATAGAAGGAAAAAAGTTTTCGAAAAAATCCGAAAAAAAAATATGTTGTGTAAAATTGCAATACAAACGACTTTTGGCTGAGGGCCACCTCGAAATTCCTTGTTAATTTCAAGACAAAAATAGATGAGAAAACATGAGTCCAAATGTACCCTTTTAAGCCCTTTAGTCACTGTATATACCCCCCAACCCCCCCTGGATGACCCATCACCAAAACCGAAGTTAAGACCAGATTCTGACTGCTTAGGCCAAGCGCAGTCCTGGTCTGAAGTCTTTTTTTTTTTTTCGGGGTCCTTGCCTGTTTTTTGACCCGTCTGGTTTTGCCGGGTGAACCCCCCTCTGCCCAACTGGCCTGGGCGTGCCGGGCCAGGCGACGGCCCAACATACGTTCAAAGTTGTCAAAATGATCAGCAAGGGCTTGAAGCTCCTTTTCAGAGGCGGCGATTCTTCTTTCCTGTCTGATTTTTCCCCAGTTTGCCTTTCTCCTGTTTTTTTTTTTTTTTCCCAACTTTTTTGTTCCTTTTTTAATTAAAAAAGAAGAACAGAGCGAGTGTGTCGGGGAAGGATTCTCTCGGCAGGTGGTAGGTGCCAGGTGGTGTGCTAAACCTGCAGGGAACGTAAAGAACGCCATAACTGAGGTTGCCCGAAGACGGCCTAGTTGTTAGAGAGATGGCGACCGCGGCTGCAGCTTCGCTCCGCCACGTGGCAACTGCTCACTGTATCGCCTGGACGTCAGCAGCGGCGGCTACCAATTCGACACGTCTCCAGGCTTCTGCTCGGGGATTTCCGTTGAGGTTGTGTGCGTCGCAGCGGTCGGGATCCCTATCACTCTCTTTTGCCGCGAGGAAGAGTGTGTGGAAAGTCTCTACGCGGAGGACGACAGTCAGATGCAGTGCGGATGCATCTGGAGCTGCTACGGCTGAGGTTGACTCCGCTGTGCTTGAAAAAGTGATGGATGTTATTGCTGAGAAGTCTGGAGTTGAGAGGGACCAGGTTAAGCCAGAAAGTGGGTTCGACGAGCTGGAAATTGATTCTCTTGATCAGGTGGATATTATGATGAGTTTGGAGGACGAATACGGAATCAGCCTGGGAGAGGAGAATGCTGCCAAGTTGACATCTGTCATGGATGTGGCAAAATTGATTGCCGAGGAGCTGAAGAAGCCCAAGGCATAATACAGCCCGAGGAATTCATAGGCGGACTTGACTCCTGAATGGCTCGGGAGACTTCCCGACCGACATGTATTTTTGTGCGTCTGGATGTGATGTGTCTCAGCAGCTCAGAACAGAACCTTGTAATTTCTCCCAATTCTGTCTTTAAAAGTAACTCTTTCAGTTCGGGTCCTGTTCCATTTAGCGGCTAATTGTTTCAGACACAGTGCTGCTTGGACCATTGTTCCAGACAGTCCCGTTCGGGGACACTGTCTCTTGGAGTGCAGTGGTGGGATGGTCGTATGTTGCTGTGGGTTTGAGTCTTGGGGCTTGTTCTCAACATGTCCTTGGGTTTGTTGTCTAGGAGGTATCTCCTTGGGTGCAGAGTGGAGACCACTTATGTGGTCAAATGTTCAAACGGCTCAATTGTACAGAAAACTGGTAGTCGTACCTGTTATGCTGTACTTCCAGCCCTGATGCCCCCCACAGCAATGATATGAGAAAGGGGGGGAAGGGGAAACATGACTTCAGATTATGTGCCCGTTGCTTGGGGCTTTTGAAAGTCGAACAGGAAAAAAAAGGGCTACAAATGTACTGTGTTAGAGACCACACACACACACACACACACACACACACACACACACACA